CCAAGATAAACTTATTTGGTTCAGATGGTGTCAAGCATGTGGGGCCACAACCAGGTGAGGAGTACACAGACAAGTGTGTCTTGTCTACAGTCGAGCATGGTGGCGGGAGTGGCATGGTCTGGGGCTGCATGAGTGCTGCCGGCACTGGGGAGCTACAGTTCATTGAGGGAACCATGAATGCCAACATGTACTGTGACATACTGAAGCAGAGCATGATCCCCTCCCTTCGGAGACTGGGCTGCAGGGCAGTATTCCAACATGATAATGACCCCAAACACACCTCCAAGACGACCACTGCCTTGCTAAAGAAGCTGAGGGTAAAGGTGATGGATTGGCCAAGCATGTCTCCAGACCTAACCGGAAGGTGGAGGAGCGCAAGGTCTCTAGGATTCAAGGATTCAAAGCGTTTATTGTCATATGCCCAGTGAGGAAAACAAGTTTCCCCGAGCAATGAAATTCTTACTTTGCTGTCCACAATGAATGCCAAGACAGTGCAATGCTATACACACACATACACAAACTATACACACATACATACATACAATGTAAGAAACATAATAATAAAAACTATGCTGCAGTAGTAGGAATAAAGACTATGGAAAAAAAATTAATATAGACTATGTGTATCTATATATGCGAGTATAGAGTAGAAATATAGAATGTGAAAATAGAAATATAGACTATGTATATGGTATCTACATATGTGAATGTACAGTATTAACTTATGTGCAAAAAAAACAATAGTGCAGTAACATGTGCAAATTAAGTGCAAGTGCATGATAACAATAGCAGCAGTAACAGTAACAGATGTGCAAATTGAGATGAGGCTACATGAGTAATATTAATAAATATACAATGGTAGTAATAACAGCAATAACATTACAAATGATCAAATGAGATGAAACTATTTGGTCTGACTGTTCTCTGAGATGGATAAGTCCACTAGCTAGCTAACTGTTTAAGAGTCTAATAGCTGAGGGGAAGAAGGAGTTCCTTAATCTGGAAATCCTGCAATTTACACTCATGTACCTCCGTCCTGAGAGTAGGAGTGTGAACAGGGTGGGTGGGGTCTTTAATGATGGATGCAGCTCTTCTGTGGACTCTGCGATGGTAAATGGCCTGCAGAGAGGGCAGTGGAGTCCTGATGATCTTCTCAGCAGTCTTCACCACTCTCTGCAGACGTTTGCGGTCCCTTACAGTAGTGCTGCCATACCATGCAGTGATGCAGCTGGTCAAGATGCTCTCAACTACACAGCTGTAGAGGTTGTTGAGGATCCTAGGTGACATGCCAAACTTCCTCAGCCTCCTCAGGAAGTACAGCCGCTGTTGTGCCTTCTTAACCAGCTGGGTGGTGTTGAGTGTCCAGGTGAGGTCCTCACTGATGTGAACCACCAGGTATTTAAAGCTGCTCACCCTCTCCACTTCAAGCTCTCGGATAAACAGTGGCTGGGGAGGTTTCCTCTTTTTCCTCAGGTCCACTATCATCTCCTTTGTCTTGTCCGTGTTGAGGGTGAGGTTGTTGTCCTCACACCATGCCACAAGACTGGCCACCTCCCTCCTGTAGGCCGCTTCATCCCCGCTAGTGATCCGTCCTACCACTGCGGTGTCATCAGCGAACTTCAGTATTATGTTGTCCTTGTGGGAGGCAACACAGTCATGTGTGAACAGTGTGTAGAGGATGGGACTGAGAACACACCCTT